AACTAGAACATTTTTGGAGAAATTTGACTTTTAAGGCCACATACCAAAAAAAAATATATATAAAAATTCTAGGTTTTATAATATTAAGAAGACACGTTTCTTTGTATTTTGTTTAATTCTGAGAAGACTCTATTATTTAATTAATCCATATTGCCAATATAATTTTCGATTAGGTCATATCAGGATAAAACCACCCAAACCCTTTCTAATTCCTTTAGACCACCACTCACATTTAATCTCTAGCTATGCCAGGCAGACATGTTTTTAAACACGGTTCTATGTTATAAGCAGCATTCAGAGACACAATACGATGCATAAATTTAATAAAAATGTAAGGATTTGGAGACGCTCAAATTGTACAGAGCTCCAAACTTTCAGATGTTTAGATAGTCAGACAGTGACATCCTACCAAATTGGTCGTCACACAAATGCAAACTGTAAATTCTAACATGTTTTAAATTGCCAGACTCACTCTAAAGCAGCCAAATGATAAGAATGAAACTGTGTCATCAATGTAAATATAACTATTTTCATTTTCTTAAGATTTTTCTTGGCTGCCGATTCAGGCAGCCAAGGTTTCTAGCTATATTTACATTGTTATTTCCATTTCTAGTGTGAATTTATCCTTTCTATGATTGAAGAATGTTTAAACTTTTAAGCCCAACTTCATATAGACTTAGATAAACTCTTGCTAAAAAGAAGTGAATGCACTACCCACTACAGATTGAAAACCTTGAACCATAAACTGTTCGGTTGAAATATTTTAATAAACTGTTCGGTTGAAATATTTGTACATCTGCCCCATATCAAAGTTCTTTTATTTCCAGGTACCAACAAAAAATAATAAAACCTCCATTTACTCATCCTATTTGGAATTTGATTTCAGGTCTCAAACTCATTTTGCACTGGCAATGTTTCAAATGACACTACTTTGTCCTCAGGAGGATACAAAAAAAATGTTAATCTAACTTTATGAGTATGAAAATGGAAAAACATAAATGCAAAACTAACAGTGCGATACGTTCTCAAGGTTTTTGGGCACATATTTGTTACATGTATGGTGCTCCTCTTTCCTGCCTCTGTGCTCAGTTCTTGCATTGACTTTGTCAGCTCGTGTTGATTTCCGCAGGGGAAGTTGCCTCAGTACTATCCTAAGACAAAGCCCTGACCCCGGGGGTTAAGGAATGTGAACCCGGGATGTGACGATTGGGACCTTCCGTAGGGGTGGACGGTGCAAAAGACCTAATGATTTCAAAATGCTTTTGGTGCCTCTTCTCAAAAGTCAAATCTGACCAAGTTTCAGGAATGTTTGCATGACTTTATGTTTAAGAGATAAACTAAGGATTTGGGGGATCTTTTAAAAATAGACAAGTAAAGCTCCCGTTTATTGTTCTAAGTGCACAACCTTTTACAGAATTAAAATTTTTTGGCATTATAAAGGTTACCTGTGATACCTGTGGACTCAAAGCCATTGTCAAAGCCATTGAATTACTGTCAAGGACATGATATCTTTTATGAAAGAGCTTCTTGTGAATAATTAAGGCATAAAGGACACCAAAAGGCCCTTGTCCCATTTATCACCCATTTTAAGAGCGGGGGGGAAGGGAGACGAGGAGAGCTGTCAAAGCAACCACAGAAAAGTGTAATGTAACAGTGGTGGTCCCTCATCCCCCAAGGCCCCAACAAGTAGCATAAAGTTGAGAAACAAAAGACATAATTGAGCCAAGAGATATTGGGATTCAGAGGAAAGTGTAGACTCCAGGCATTTGAAAGCTTTATAATGTAAGGAACAGAGGAGAGCTAAAACACCCTCAAGAGAATTTATGTGGATGAAGATGAAGGGTCAGACTGCTATTAATCATGGCCTGAGTCCAGGATTGAATAGCTCGATGCAGCGGAAAGAAGAGAGAACCCGTCCAGATTGAGGTGTTTAAAAGGGCCGTGTTACGTCTGCCTTGCATTACAAAGTAAGGTTTCAGGACAAAAGAGCCATTTGAAGTTAGCAAAATACAGATAAAAGTAATGAATCATCCTGAAAAAATTTGTTGTTTTAGAGGAAAGTCTTGGACAAAACAAATGAGGATGAGGCAGTCAAAGAAGAAATTATGCTTTATTTGCTCATCTGCAACACAAACACACAGATATAAATACTTTTTGAATCATTAGACTTCATTTTTCTTTTTTTTCCTCGACTTCCTCTGATCTTAGATGTGTCATGCACTGCATTAATTATGCATCATAACTCAGTACATGCAGGGAACACCTTGGAGTTCTTAGTTAAAGCAAGATTATACCAGGGGCCTAGAGGCTGCTGCAGGACACATTAACATTGCCTACAGGACTTCTATATGCAGTCCTTATGCGAAAACAATTCATGTTCTTTCATCTAGTTCATGTGGGCAGGATCGGGTGTGGAAGCGCACAAAATGTAAAATGGGCCTTAGTTTGTTACTTATTCACAATCTATCTCATTTATAAAAGAAAAAAGAAAAAACAGGAAATGCCCAAACTGCACATTTTGAAGTAGGCTTAGAGATGTAAAAAAAAAAAAACTCACCACGATCTTATCTAAGGAAGTTCAAGAATGAATGAAAAAATACTTTTTTAAATGTATATGTGTGAAAACCTATTTTAAGTATTTTGTAGCTTTGTAGCAAAAAATGTATTATAACTTTATTATTATTTTGACAGAGACAGTGAACCTGAAAGAAACAGTTGACGTGAATATGCCAGGCTGAGGCAAAGGCTATTTAGAATAAAATGCCTGTTATTCTTGAAACATTCACTAAAGTCTTATTTTGTAGTAGCCTTACTCCACCTAAAGACTCATACTGAAAGTGAAGAGAAACTTCAGAACTGAAACAGCTAACTGAAGAAGGCTGAGCTCTATGTATTAGTAAAAGCCTGAAAAACCCTTCAACGCAGCCTCTATAAACCAGGCCAGGGTAAACTCTTCAAAAGAATATACTTGGAAATGTATATATAACCACAAAAGTAAAAAAAAAATGTAAGCGCATATCACCTCTGTACAGACTGGAGCGAGTCATGCAGCTCTGAAAATCTGTTTCAAAACTAAATAAGCATAAAAAAATACAGCTTAACTAGTCAAAGCACTTCAAAAGATGGCACTAACTGATGATTAAAATTATTTTAGGGATGAAGAGGGCTCAGAAAAAGAGCAATAAAAAGAGAATCAGGACAAATCCTTCTTTCTTATAAGAATATTTAAATTACAGTTAAACCACAATTGCCCATTGGGATTTTTTATGATAAACAATACAAACTATAATTGATTGATTGACTTTATTGATCTCACAGTGGAGAAATGTAGTCGTTACATCGGCTCAAATAGTCAAAGAAGAAGAATGGACCAAAGGAAGAAAAAGATGAAAGGACATATACAGTATAAACAGTGCATCCACATATGACAGCTTTTTTTTAATAGTAGGATTATTATACAGGGTTATTGCACAGGTTGTTTACATTGTTATTTATATAGATGGATATTTATATATATAAAGTTATTGCACTGGGTGTCAAATATAGAGAAACAGGTTATTGCAGAGTGCATCAAATAGTAATTGCACATTATACATTGCACAAGTTATTGCCATTGTAGTGTCGCATTATAAAGTCTGGTTACAGCAGGGATGAATGACCTGTGGCAGCGCTTCTTTTTACAAGCAGGGTGCAGAAGTCTTTCTCTAAAGGAGCTGCTCAGCTTCTCTACAGTCTGGTGCAAAGGGAAACAAGGGGAAAATGAATCTCTGTCTTATCTTGACTGTTTTTTTGTTTTGTTTTTTTTCCAATTCTGAAGCCTTAGGCTTGCATTTACTCTTTACTTCTCCCATCCTCTTCCATTCCACTGGCATCACCCGACCACAGTCCTGGTTGTGCAAATTAATCTCAACATAAACACTGCTGTTCTTTGAAGCTTCGTACATAGTTTTGGTAGAGGGCTGAAGTGAGGAAACAGCATCATGAGGAACAAAATATTGAACGTTTAATATGTGATCAATTTACAAAACTAAATCTAATGTTTCACAGAAAAGAAACCAAAAGGCCAATTATCACTGGAGGAGCTGCAGAGATCCAGAGATCTTGAGAACATCATGCACTACATAAAAAGGCTGTTGCTGGAAGAAAATGTTTGATACTTGTTTGCAGATTCCTAAAAGCCATCTGAGGTCAACAGAAAAATAAGTTGAGGAAAGTGCTGTAGACCAATAAGAGTGAGTGATTTGAACTTTAAGTCAAACAGGCAAAATGCTATGTAGTGATGAAACGCACTCATATATGTGAAACATACTCACTGTGAGGTAGAACCAGGCTATTCAGGAAGAAACCTCAATATTTGGGGGTGGGGTTCAATTATATAGAGGAATATTTGGCTAAATGTTTACAGATCCATTCAAATCTGAGTGAGTTTGAGTTATGCATCAAAACAAAGAACCATCAAACATTTCTTTTGCAAAATAAGAGATCTGCCTCAAAACAATCAACTGTAGTTGTGGCAAAATAGTGTTCTACAAAGTACTAAACCAATTAGGTGCATTGTAAAAACAACATCCTTTTCCACCAACTTTCCTAATTCTGCTCTGATTTGTCTGTGATGATAAAATACTACCTAAATACAGTCAAGTGCATGAGTTGTAACAAAAAGTGAAAATAAATGGATATTCTGCAAGGCATGGCTGTTTATCTTTAATCTGAATGCACAAAGTCCTGAGCAGATATGATTCTGCTCTTGACAGTTTTAAGGGACAGATATGTTAATTTGAAAGACTGATTCAGCACACCAACCTGCACAGGAAAGTAAGCTGATACTGCAAAACTGAAGGGCTCTAGGTGTGGAAGGAAAAGCTGCAGGAAAACTGTACAAGATGCGCTTTTCTCGTTCATTTCAAACTTTGCAACAAGCCTCTCGGGTTGCCTGAAGTATATCCGCCTACGTCGCTGCAGTGCCGTGTGCGTTAGTGGGAGTACCCCCTGCAAAGGTCCCTTTCTGCCGCGCTGTTCCAGTAGTTGGAGTTGTTGTACAACCGTGCGCAACAGAAAGAGAGAGAGAGGGGGAGAGGAGCGAGAGTGCAGCAGCTGAGTGTACAAACAGAGGAAGAAACATTAGGTTATCTCCTGATACTATCATCAGACACCGAGCTGTCACTTTTACCGCTCAGAGCCAGCTCCGCTCTTCTCCCAGAGTGCCCCACCACCCGCAGCAGGAGTCACAGCAGAGAGCCGGAGCAGCAGCGCCCAGGTCTGCTTCGCTTTGCTCCAGCAGCAGCAGCGGCAGCCTGTGAGGAAAAACTCCCCGAAAGCGGTCGCCTCAGCTGGCATGAGCTAACCTCCGAGTCAGACATGGAAACCAAACCGTTCCTGTCATTGGGTGAGTTAACCTTACGGGATGTTTTGGTGTTTTGTTTTAGTAACAACCTTTCTCTGAGGTGTCTCACAAAACGTGTTTGTCGCGCAGCCTCCTTTTTGACAGCGCGCGGAGCGAGTTGCCAAACGCGTAAACTCTGTTTAAGGCACACTGGGGGGGAAAAAACTAACCCCAAGAAAATTGTCATTTTTTTTTTAGTTTTTTTTTTAGTTAAATTATGAAAAGTTAACTCTTTGATTGGAAAGTGCTGATGACATTTCTCTTTCATCCGGACTGACAGCGCTGCGCTCTTAGGTCGCGTGCGCCGCATCATAATCGACGTGGTTCAACTTCAAACTTTCAAACTAACTAAATATATCAATTGCGTTTGCAGAGATTAAACAACCGATATGTTTTCTACGACTTAACATGTTTGGAAGACACAAATAAAAATTTCTCTGCAGAAATAAAAAGTAAGGCTGAATATCTTTGAGCTTAGCGCACAATTAAATAGATGTTTTATCTAATGGGTTTAATTAGTTCTTGAATTTCAGTGCAAAATAAATTTTTGTTTTTGCAACTTTAAGTTGAGTTTTAGATGAGATTAAGATAAGTGTCATTTTCAGATCAGCTTCACATACAGTAGGTGACCTCTGCACATTGCTCAATAGTTTAAATTCGGGATGTTTATTGTGGATAAGAAATGTCCAGTTAATCTTCAGAGATAATTGGGCAAGATATTTGATCATTATTGCACAAATTCGTTCTATATATATAATTTTGTTTTTTTTCTGTTTTTTTTCCATTTTTTTTTTTTTTGCATGTTGGTGATTTTAAGCAACATAATTTGCGCCCTTTGGTGGTCAAACTAGGCTTCAGGTCAATAAAGTGACATAAAAAGATAAAATTTTTAGCTTAAACTTTTGCTTAGATGGTTAATATTAGAGAAGAATATGTTTAGACTTTGGCTGATTGATCCTTAACTTTTACCTTATTCTTAATCAACTAGAAAAAGTGCATCAAAATTAACATCTATTGCTTGCAATGCATCTATATTTATTGCTTTTCCAGATCAAAATTGATTGTGAGTTCTTAGTTTTCTGTGATTTAAATAATATTTGAAAAAGTAATTCCTGCAATCACCAAATAGAGCCTTTATAATAAGCTGTGATAACATTTGTGTTGGGTGCTGGTGGGGGACATATGGCTATAGAAGTTTAGAACTGTGAAGCACAGTTCCAACCAAAATCTTAACCTTAATTCTTCATTAAAGAGGTTACCAACTCGGAGATCATCAGTGTTGTTATTAAGTTAAATTAAAGGCTTTGAGAAGCAGCAGACCATCTTTAGAAGTGGATGGAGGCAGTTTGCAATAACTGCAATAATCTGAGATCGATTCTAATTTGTAGTAATTGGGCATTCGAGTTTGCAGCTTGAGCAAACATAAGCACAGAGCGCAGTGAGTCGTTAGCAGGCAGTCCCTCTGCAAAATAAACAGAACAGACCCTTGTCGGCTTGAGACAAAGCCGATCACAGAGCTGCAGGTGAGCCCCCTCCTGTTATTGTGTCTTTTGCCTTCTCATAAGGGCGTTGAGTTACACCTTCATGTATTTCATCAGCTGCCTGCTCCGTTTCCACAAGGGGAGGGGTTGACTCGGTAGGACCTCTGAGACACTGGCCCCTGCTTTCTTCAGTTAAAGCCTCTGGTTTCTGACTGTTTCGCCCCCGACACCCTTTATGCGGCTTCCTAGAAACACGCTGAACCGCTAGCTTTGCACACGGTGACAGGCTGTTATTACAGGTGCGCAGTATTGTGTGTCCACGCTGATGCTGATTCAAGTTTCAGACTGTCTGAACGCGCACCTAAACTTGCCCAACCGACAGAAAAAGCCATACCTGACACTGATGGGGTTGGTGTAAATTTCAACTCTTTTCCATCTGACTTGGATCTCTTCTGTTTCTGCTGTACCAGCAGCTTAAGAAGGGTGATTCTTTTTCTCTTTAAATCATCATTTATGCATTGGATTACCCCATCAAAATGACTACTTGAGCTGCAATTGTTTAATTGGCTTCCTCAAGGACACTCCATAGTCCTTGATTCTATCGATTATCCACTTTCTCAGTGTAATTATCTAAAGTTGTGCTGAATTTGAAATTCTGATATGGATCTGACTTAAATGACAGTGAACACATTTTACAATAATAGATTGGTTGTTGGCTGTGGTGACGACTCCCTGCCTTGGCAGCGGACGCTTAGTGCTGTGAACTGCGGTGTTGGTGTATCCTAACTACTCCAACCTCCCCACACATATCTGATTTAAAGCTACAAAGATAGGAGTGGTGACATTGAAAGGAGAACTTGTCATTTTGTCAAAGCAGTAGGAGGATGATCATGACAATCCGTCAGGGAAATAAACAGTCTGAACAAGGAGAATTGTTGAACACAGCTGGGTTCAGCTTCTACTCCTTGAATTTTCTCTCATTCTTTTAGGTGACAAACGGTAACTTATGTGTTTTTATTGGAATGTTAATTATAGGACAAAGTAAAATAATGTATACATTGTATAAAGAATTGATCTGCAGTTTTCAATGTCTTTTCCTATCAGAAATCTTAACACTAGAAACCAGAGGCAGTCATTTTGACGGTTCTGAGATTTTGAAGTGAAAGAGCTTTATTTACATTAATGTTATGTTGGTTATTTTTACTGACTTTTTCTGTTTCTAAATCTTCTATATTCATTTTCATGTTGTTTCTTTAATAAAAGTAAAACATAGAAAATAAATATGATTACTTCTACTTCAATCTCCCACAGCGCTCATTTTGATGGCTCTATTAGTTGCATTTGAAATTCTGCGCACGGTTAAATAATATTCGGTGCCTTTACCTAGCAACTGACTTTCTACCTTGAAAAATCTTGAATTCTTTAACTAATATGGAAAAATGGCTTTCAGAAGATATCTAACGGCAAAACAGGCTTTAGAAATGCTTCAAAATATTGATGAGCGATTAGGGCAGAGATTTGGGACCGATGATGATGACTGGTCGGTAGGAAGCGGCTTAAGATTCTGACAGCTAGTCCGATGATGATCAACCACCCCGGCAAAATGCAGACGTATCATTGACCCATCAGACAATAGGGGAAGCTTTTCCAAACCAGAGCCCATGGTCTACTATAATCACACAAAGGTTGGCATGGATGTTGTTACTGAACAAATGTTTATTACATGTTCCCAGGGGGACAGCTATCAGTGCGGGACGCACCGGATGGTACCCAGAGTCGGTCCTCTAGGGCCGCTGTCCTGTAGGTTTTAGTGGTGAACTACTAGACGCTTTGCGAAAGTGTATGAAGGCTTTGGTAGTTGTTACGGCAAGCTGTTAAACGTTGACAAGGAGAGGCATATGGACTGGCAGTTATTTGGGGGGGGGGGCGGCCACTTTGCGGTGCCGGAGGAGCGGTCTGGGGTTTCAGGGTCTTGATCAAAGAGCCTGAGTGGCAGTCTGTGGGAGTCGAGGACCTAAGTGCAATGCTCTAAGCACTAAGTCACCACCTTCCCCTAAAGCTGTTCAACTACTTCATTTGGGGAGAAAGGAATGGAGCTAATAACTACGCCGGAGAGCGGAAACAATAGCTAGAAGGGCAGTAAGCGCTATGATGGCTCTGTTTGATGAACATTGTAATCCAAAAACTGAACGAGACAGTTGTGGGATGTTTTTTTCTTAGAAATCAGAGACTTTTTTTTTTTTAGATTTTAATAAGTTTTATTTAACATTTACAACAACATATAAAAACAAGCAGACAATGAAACTGATGTGTTGGTTCAGATGGTTAGAAAGTATTCTGGAAAAGCTCAGTCGTGAAGGGGGCTTGTGACTGTCTTTTACAATCTCTTGGACATAGCAGCTCTAAACGCATTGGAATGCCACCGTCTTACGCAGAGATTTTATCCTTAAACTGGTAAAATAGTTGCGTGCCAACCACATGCCCTCCGGACAGCCCAAAGTTACCAACCCTTCCACAGCAGAAGAGCAGCTTATGCGAGGGAAAGAAAAGAGTGCCTGGTGCATCAGCACTGCATAAAAGACTTCTCATATAATGTATGTATTAAACATGAAAAGGTGATGTGAAAGAAATGTGCGGGAGGAATCAATCAAATTCTGCAAATAATATGTTATTTCACATTTTGAACCTGTGTAGTAAAACAGTCTTATGTATTTAACTGATTTATTTTTAATACAATATAATACAGCCTTTAGAAATAAATACATATTAGAACTGTTTTTAGGTCTGCATATCCACAATAGGTTTATATTACTCACCAGAATAATTTCAGTCTATTACATCATCACTACTCTTGCGTTCGATTAGGAAAAATGCCACCCATCAAATTGACTTCCAGTGGAATTTCTGGTAGTGTCAAAATTCTGGGAGTCCTAGTGTTAAAGGTTTGGCATGCATTTTAGCAATGTTTACAAATAATCAACTTAAGATTAATTATTGATCAATAGTTTTATAGATTCAAATTTTTTTAGTCTAAATAGCTGATAAGGTCCGCCTAAAAGGTATTTCTTTAGAGGTTGTAGTTTTACTGTTTTACCATAGAGGGCAGAGCCGTTTATTCTAATGCGGAGCCTTACTAGTATCTTCAAGAGAAGAAATGCCAGAGTAGAAGCATGCAAGAGCAGAATCACAAATTGATCCAGAGTCCGTGCCGGGATTATTTTCACTGTTTAATGACGAGGATACAGAATGCACTTTGAACGGTTCTGTTTGTCATTATAAACACTTGGTAAACTCTTTAAATCACCACCTAGATGCAAAACATTTGTAACATAGAAGATAGCAATTAGTGCAGTAGTTTGGAAGGCTTTTGTGTGTTAATGCACTTTATGGAGCCAAAATTTAATATTCCTCTTAGTGCAACTAGAACCAGCAGTTTAAAACCATTGAGTGATCAAGATTTTCATATATTCGTTCCATATTTTTTGTATTCAGTAACCTAATAAGTTATTTTTTGTTAAATGA